TATCTGACAGCTTGTTAACTTAATTGTAAACCACATAGTATATTCAATACATTTGTAGACTCTAAATTTGGTTTTTATGTTCCTTCCGGCCGATGCAGACAGAGACCAGAAGAGTACAAAATTTCTGCTTATGCATATAACCTTCTAAAGTAAGCCCACAGACTCAACCTTTTACAGGTCCTGAGACCTAGAAGTCCTTAACCCCTATCCTGAAGTTCTTTACCTTCTCGTAAATCCACGAAGGCGAACCAGCCAGTTCAGGCTTGTGGGACCAGTAGCCTTGCAGCCGCTCGCAGGGATAAGCATCCTTAAGGTTCATATCGAGGATGTTACAGTGGTGACAGCGTTGTACAGTGGTGAAGATTTTCTCACCCTCTAGTTCCAGATTTTTACAATAGCGGATATAACCTCCATAGAGTTGTACAGTGGTGACAGCGGTCCCGGTTTGGGGAATTTTTCGGAAAATAGGGACGATTAAGTCACTTCTTCAGTATCTTTGTAAACTTTTGCAAGTTCTATAGTTATAAGAATCCTTCATCGTTAAAATTTTATTTCGACAGTGACATTCGAATTTTTTTTTCTTCTCTTTCCTAATACAACCACAGAATAAAGAAACAGCGAGGTATCCAGTAAATATTTTGTGGTGTGCAGGACTTTCTTTTCAGAAAATTTTGTCTTCTTCTTAGCATCGACGTATTACGTCCCAAGACATATAGACCCTCGAGAGATTTTGAAAAATTTAGGGTAAAAGCAAATAAATCAGTCTAGATAATTTTCAACAGGTTCATTCAGTACAAAAAATAACCTTGTACTACAGCACAACTTGTTAGTGCTATTACACAAATTTGTTAGTATAAAGTAGATTTTTTTTCTCGTATCACTAGAAAATAACCTCAAATAAACCCCTTCCTAAAACCTAGAATCCTAAATTAAGGTGAGTGAATCGCTTTTATAATCGAGTAAAGGGATGACAATTACATAATTTATCAAAAAATAAATATTAAAACCTTATTTGATATTCTCTACAGATTTGTTTTTTAACTTCTTAAATTACCATAATATTGCACTAAAAATATAAACTATACAGTCGAACAGATTATATGATATATATATATATATATATATATATATATATATATATATATATATTATATATATATATATATATATATATATATATATATAACAGAAATTATTAATTATTAGTCGAATATAAGAATTGAATATAATTATTTGAATAAATAATCATTATATTGTTTACTAACTAGTTGAACATAAAGAATTTAAGTAAATGGGTCAAGTTCAGAGAACACGATGTTATTGTTTTTAAAAAGTGCAAAATATAAATTTCTTTGAGTATTATTTTACTAACTAACGGTTTATATATTATCAAATTCTACTTTTTTTAATGAAACAAGTGAAAGTGAAATATGATATCAGTTGCTCGATGTCTGTTTGGAAAATATTTATATTTATATAAACGCGCTTGGTTAACGAATTCTTCAAGTAATATACAGTGAGAAATTGGATATGACTTTGTTTGACCATTTGAATAGACTAAATTTTGATATCTGGAATTATAAATAGCGTTTCATTAGTAAAAAGGGAAAAGAACTTAAGGGAGTTTTTGAAGATAATTGACCGTGGCGCCAGAAAAATTTTTTCACTAAGTTGGAATGATTTCCGCGAGCATACGAGTTCGGGAATGGATTCATTATGGAAGAGTCAAGATTTTGTAGACGCGGCGCTTGCATCGCAGGGAAAATGCATAGAAGCACATATTGTGGTTCTTTGGGTTGTAGCCCATATTTAAAGAAATTTTGAGTAAGAAGGTTCTCTACTAGAAGGTAGAAGATTTTAAGCCAGTTTCTTTGCTTGTGACAAAGAACCAGCAACCTATAAAGAAGAAAGAATAATCAGTGGACACAGGTGAGATGCCACAAAAATAGAGGTACAGCGAGAGCATATTTCGCACAGCATACAAAGATGAATACAGTGCCAGAAGTATACTTTTTTAAAAGGAATGTAGGCAAGCTACATATGGTTTGACCTTAAGGGTTGAAACTTACGTCAGGTAGGAGGCTGCTAAGAGGATAAGCTAGGGTGGTACTTGAATCCCAACCCGCTAAGAGCCCTGCGGCTCCAGCACGACAATACTGTATCTACAGGATGTAATAAAAATGCGAAACGAATCTGAAATTATGATTTTGTTAATGAAGTAAATGGAAAAGTAAATAAAAAGAAGAGTTATAATTAATACCTTCCACATGTTACTGGAAGGATATGGAAGAATAAATAGGATGTATAGTACAGAAATATAAGAGAATATTATTTCTGGAACGAATTATGAAGAAATGTTGAGAAATATGTGAAATGTGAAGACATGTGACGACTGCCAAAGGCATGAGTACTCAATCAGAAACAGGGAACCCATGCACACGGACATGGATGAAAATGAAAATAGTGTATAGGAAAACACAGTAGAATATAGAAACAGGGAACCCATGCACACGGACATGGATGAAGATGAAAATAGTGTATAGGAAAACACAGGAGAATATAGAAACAGGGAACTCATGTACACAGACATGGATGAAAATGAAAACAGTGTATAGAAAGAAAATATGGAAAGCAATTAACTGCAGAAAGGGTAGGTTTTGCAATCAAATATCAATGTAACGACGGGTTGGAATATGATCGTCACCCTGCCCAATAGTAGTCACACATGTTAATAGGTAAGAAAATTCGCCATTAACAACAAGGAACGAAGGACAAAACACAGGTAATATAAGCATTCATAGTTAAATATTAGCATAGTTCAATGAAAATAATTTTTTGAAAACATAACAGTACATCATAACTAAAACAAGTTTTAAGAAAGAGAAATAAGTAAATTAATTTAAGGTTAATAGGGGTCTAAGCTAAGAACTGTCTTCTCCACCCCACAGGCCAACGATATTAACGACGAGAAAATTAGAGATTTCCTTAATGCACTGTGTCAACTATCATTCCCACTAAAATACTTCTCACCAAACGAAGTCCGTAACCAAATTAACGTGCTTAACCCTCATAAAGCTCCAGGATTTGACCTTATAACTGGCGAAATCTTAAAAAAACTCCCAAGAAAAGCTGTCGTCTTAATAACCATTATTTTTAATAGCCTCCTGAGACTATGCTATTTTCCAGTGCAATGGAAGTATGCACAAATTATAACAATACCTAAACCTGGTAAACCTCAAACTGAAGCCAGTTCGTACAGACCAATAAGTCTCCTTCCAACTTTATCAAAAGTCTTTGAAAGGTTAATCCTTAACAGAATAGAAACAATAATACCTATAGAAAACCTTATCCCAGATCATCAATTTGGTTTTCGCTCAAATCACTCAACCATACAACAGTGCCATAGATTAGTCAACAAAATAAAAGAGAGCCTAGAAGGGAAAGAAATGTCTATCAGCATTCCTCGATATACAGCAAGCATTTGATAGAGTGTGACACGAGGGTCTTCTGTTTAAAATAAAAACTCACCTAACTGACCAAATATACCTCCTCCTTAAATCATACTTGTCCGGCAGATACTTCCAAGTTAAATATGAAGGTGCTCTATCCAACTACCACCAAATAAAATCTGGAGTACCTCAAGGCAATCTACTTGGCCCATTCCTTTACCAAATCTTCACTGCTGATACTCCTATTAACGAAAATACACTAATGGCAACAGTTGCGGATGACACTGCTATACTAGCATCAGATATCAATGAAATATTAGCATTTAACAAATTGCAAAATCATCTCAATGAACTAGAAGACTGGCTTAAATGCTGGAAAATAAATGTCAACACAAACAAGTCTTGTCAAGTAAATTTCACAAATTGAAGAATTAGATGTCCACAACTACACCTAAATAATTCAGCTATACCAATAAAAACAGAAGTAAGGTACCTGAGCCTTCATATAGACGAAAAACTTACTTGGAAATCACATATTGCAGCCAAACGACGACACCTCAACCTAAAAGTTAAAAATATGAGCTGGCTAATCAACAGAAGATCGCAACTTTCATTAGAAAACAAACTAACCATCTACAAAACAATACTCAAACCAGTGTGAACATACGGAATTGAGCTGTGGGCTGTAGCAAACAGCTAAAAATGTTAGCTAAAGCCCCATGGTATGTGTCAAACCAAACCCTGGATGCAGACCTCAACATCCCCTTCATCGATGATGTGATTGCTGACCACTCCAGAAGATACATGAATCGCAGCACAGACCATCCGAACCACCTCATAGATGAATTTCAACCCCCACTGGTTGACAGATGTCTAAAAAGACTTTGGCCAGAAGACCTAGCTGCTAGGTAAATTCCAGAGAGTCGTCAATGAACCACACCTGCCACAAGCCAAGAACATACATCATATTTACATATTACTGTATTGAAGTAGATTGTAAATTAGCAATAAATAAATAAATAATAAAAAAAAATATATCAACATCCTACTAATGTTCTGGATTGATTTTTAAATAAATTATACTACAGGTGAAAATCAAGTCAATTTGGCTTAATTTACCTAGATTCCAAAGGGCAATAAAACTGAAGTAGCACAAATCTTATTTCCTCAATTTTTCTAGAAATATACCAACATAAGTTTCCTCTCTTCTAAAATTTGTTTAAATTGCTTCACTTTTTGCTGACAGACGAAAAAAGCAAAAATTTTCCATTTTTTGACCTTAATTTGTTAATAACTAATTAAGTCCAAAAAATCGACTGCAGGGAAACTATAGGTTTTTGTTACAGAGGTCCATACTACTCAAAACAACTGTCGTTTGCCTGGCCGGATGAGTGTCAAACACAGGGTACTTTTTTTGCTTATTTCCCTGGCCTAATAATATTTAAATTAGACATGCTACAAGAAAGTAGCGTCAGAACTTTGCCATTATAAGAATAAACTTCCTCAACATACATTGTTATTGTATTATATTAATCAGTGATATTAACTTACTTTCTTCATTTGTTGGTTGCTTTTCTTCAAATAGTTTAATTTTATCTTCACGTTGTTGTACTTCATTTTTTACAGTGAATTCATTTAGGTTTAAATAATCAAATGAGTGGTATGCAGTTTCAGTCTTGGGTTCTTCCTTAATTTCAATTTTGAAAACATCCAAAGCACCAACACAGGTTTCATTATCTATTTCTATTTTACAATGTTTCATATCAACTTCTTGGTTTATTTCCATATTATTAAATTTGATTTCACATAACAATTGTAATTTTACCAAAGAATATAGACGTTATACATAATTCAATATTCGGTTTTCTTCAATATTGGTGCCATTGGTGCAATGAACATAACCTCTTGTTGATATGTTTGACGTTTTAATATACGTCAGTGTTGCCATATACTCAAATATTTCCCACTCTCACATATAAAATTATTAAATGAAATGAGGTTGAATGCTCGAATAAATGAACTTTGAAAATAAGGCTATTATCGAGCACAAGTTAATTAAATCTAGCCCAAGTACTTTCGCTTAAAATAGTATCTTCAGGGGCATTTCGTCAAAATGTGAACTATCCTGTATAGGATATATATTATGAAACGTCTTCAAAATAAAGTAGCCTATCAACTTTGTCTTTTATTTCTCCACCTTGAGACCGATATAAGAACCCACCACTCGTCTAAGTGATCCTTATAATATTTATATATATATATATATATATATATATATATATATTATATATATATATATATATATATATATATCGGAAAAAAGGAGTACGACCGTCAAATTTCAATATATAAAAGGATCACTCAACAGAGTGGTGGGCCGATATAAGAGCCCACCACTCTGTTGAGTGATCCTTTTATATATATATATATATATATAATATATATATATGTAATATATATATATATATATACATATACATATAATATATATATATATTATATATATATATATAAATGTAATATATATATATATATATATATATAATATATATATATATTATATATATATATATATATATATATATATTACAAGTGATTATTTCAATCAAAAAATTATTTATAAACATAGCAATTATAAGGTTATTATATATATATATATATATATATATATATATAGTATATATATTATATATATATATATATATATATATAATAAATATATTATTAAAAATCTTTGTTTTTTCTAAAGAAACTCAATATTTCGCTATTTATTTTATAGCTTACAAATACATTTAAAAAACACTTACAGAAATTAAAATGTTTCATATATAAAAATTGACATTGAAGTATGTAATAAATGTCATGATTAAATTGTCATAAGCACATTAGTTACAGTAATATGATTAAAATTTAAAATGACTTTAGGTGTAAAAACAAAAATGGCAATAAAACAAACGTTAGAAGAATGATATTTCTTTGATGAATTATTAAGGTTGGTTGTTATAAAGGTGAATATTAGCTATTTTCAATATTTATAAATTTTGTTTAATATATTACAATTAACAGTAAATGGAAACTGGACAGTTACTTAACTGTCCAGTGCCTGTTTTATAATTTAAAGTGTTTCATTTTTGTTGATGTGATACATCTCAAGAAATAATCTACTTTTGTAGTTATCACCTGTGCCAAATTGTATTTTTACGCCATTTTTAAAATTTTAAAATTGTTTTACAGTGTACTCCTGATGAAGCTATAAAATAAATAGCGAAATATTCAGTTTCTTTAGAAAAAAAACAAAGATTTTTAATAACCACTATACCTGATAATTTTATAATATGATGTTTATATATTTATATCTACATTACCATAGAAACCACAATAAGTTAAAAAAGATAAAGATCACGACATGTCTTTGATACAATTCTTTAACTACCTACCTATACACAATAACTAATTTTATTAATAATACATGGAACTAACATTTCTAAATGTGTATAAACTTATGTAAGTGCACTTGCTAATTGTTGTCATTTACTTGCTAATTGTAAATGTTTAAAACCATATCATTGACTAGTTTTGTACATTTTTTAAAACATTATGAATGTAATAAATTTTACTATTATTATTAAAGTGTACTTGAAAAGTACTAAAAATGAAAGTAATTTTATTCCAAATAACTATTATTAATCTAACCCAATGCTTATTCCCAAACTAAACAGTAAATCGTAAATACAGTTTGAATTAATTTGAATCCGGACCTGCCCGCCGCCATATTGGTGTAGACAATCAGTCAAAATAAGTGGTCCCATTTATTAAATGCAGAAATATCGTTTGTGTCATATCCCCTCTCTTACATTTACATATCTCTGATCGGTATGTAAATTAAATTTAAGTGTATATTGCAAGGCTGCCAGATCTAGGGATTTATCCCGAATCTAGGGATATTTCAGCATAAAAGGGACAAAGGGATTTTTTTGATATTTATGGTAAAATCTAGGGATTTTTGACCGGCTCAAATATTTACCTACATAGGCCTATTATAATAACATTTTCTTTAATTCAAGTATAAAACCAATTCGTATTAACAGTATTAAATAAGCGATCTTTAATTACAAATACTTAAACTACTAGTAAACTACTAAAGGATTCTATTATCAGATGTCGTTAACTGTCCACGTTCTTGGAATCTTTATTTTATGCTACCAAATAGATTTCTGCCAAAAATAGAATCCTATATATTTTCATAGAGGAGAAGCAAATTCTGGAGCAGGAATTAGGGGATTTACAAAAATCTTAGGTTTTATAAAATAAATAATTAGGGGATTTACAGTAGGAATCGGGTGAATCCCAGGATTCGTGGAAATATATAAATAAAATTATATGCTTTACCATCTCAATTCTTTTCAAATTGTATTTTGTATTAATTTTATTAAGTGAATAATACTTAATAATATATTAAATGGAATATTCAAAGCCATAAATAAGTACATTATTCCGTTTTTGTTAAATCTATTCAAATCCTCGCTATTATACCGTTTAAAAATGAAATATTTTTGAAACAAAGGTATAAAACAACAATTATTTTTTTAGGTTGAGTTTACCGAAAGCACAAGCTGAACATAGCCGCAAATGTCAAAAATATTTCGGCTTGGCAGTGTTGGCATGTTTTTATAATGCATATATTGTATGCTTCAAATATAAAGAGATAAAGCTTTTAAAAAGTATATTTTGATTATACTATTTTATGATATAATGATATTTATGATTTATATTAGTCTCTTTCGAGATTAATTGCAAACATATGTTGTAATCTGGCAACTGCTCATTTGACGATTGCCAAATCTATCCCCTAATCTACCAAAGTGTAATTGCTAAAAAAATTCTAATAATTAAGTACAATTAATCTCCAAAGAAACAAATATTTACACAGCATCTACATTATAAAAACATGCCAACACTGCTATACCGAAATTTTTTGTTCCATGTTTGACATTTGTGGCTATAATCAGCTTGTACTTTCGGTAAATTCTACCTTTTTTAATTCCATGTTATTATATTAGGCAACCATCAATACATTCCATCATTTTATTCAGAATTAGGCAACCATATATACATTTATTCCAATCTAGGGATTTCTAGGGACATTTTAATGTTCAATTTAGGGAGGACAAAAATTTTCACCTGGCAACTATATTGTTTAATTGTTTGGTTTAATTTAATCAATGCTAAAAAAAATTGGCACATAAAATCAAATTTAAACTGAAAGTTATGGAACTAAAACAAGAAGTTAGTGAGAAAACTTGTAAAATAGAAATAGATAATGACACATTATGTGTTCCATCTTTGGATACCTTTAATATTAAAATTAAGGAGGAACCCAAGATAGAAACTGAAACTTTAGACTTAAATGAATTCCCGGTGAACGTTAAAGTAGAACAGGATGAATATAAATTTACAATTTCTGAAGAAAAACAAACAACAAATGAAGAAGGTAAGTAAATAAAACTGATTAATGCAATATCAAAGAATAGCGTCTATATTCTTTAGCAATATTATAAGGAATTAATTTTATGTTAAGGAAGTTTGATTATTAACGTACCAGAGAATACAAATAAAAGTTTTTATGGTAGATTTTAAATGTTAATTGAATTAATTATAGGGTATTAATTTTGACATATCTTCAACAAAACTGTATTTGTTTGTCTACAACAAGAATTTCTTGTCTAATTATGTTTATATAGTGCTAGTTTTTATTTTTGTGAATTTAAAAATCCAGTACCTTAGTAGTATGTTGATATATTGAAACTTACATGTTGGGTTGTGCTGTGGCTGCTTGTAAAAATAAAACAAAAGAACTAGAGGTACAGAAAACAAAGATTTGTGAAGATATTGCATAGAAATTGTTCATAGACTTTTCCACACTGTACTCTCTAAGATCTCTTACATATACCCTAATCTGTGTTTGCCTCTGATGACCTGAGACCTTTCAAATTAAAATTTTTATGGAAACAGGTGAAACAAGTAATAAAATGCAGATAAGAGAACGAAAGTGGATTTGTTCACAATTTTAGGAAGCTAGATGATGCTGCTATTGAAAAGAAAGCTTGGAGCTAAAATCCTCAAGATGCAAGAAGGCTAGGTAGACCCTGAGGTACCTGGAGGAGGACCACTGATAAGTAAGCAAAAAACATTTGGGAAGAGTTAGGGCTAACTGGGAATACAGACAAAATGCAGCATCTCCTGGATGCCCTGTAGTTGCAAAAATATGTTGTATACTTTATTTCATGTTAAGAACAGAACATTTGGCTTATGCAGATCAGTGTTTCCACTTCAGAAATCGTTCTCAAAATAAACTAATACCTATTTAGTAAAAGTTTAGTAAGTAGTTGGGAAAACTATTAGTAAAAGTATGTCGCGTTTAAAGCTGTTAGTTGATATGGTTACTAGCCAACATGAAGATTCGGCTGTTTTAGTAAATATAGAAGAAACAGTATTACGCACTGAAAGTGAGGACTTTAAAAAATCAGTGGGAAGTGATATAAGAGGATTGAAGAGGTGTTTAGTTGATGCCGAAATTAAAGAAATAAGTTCAACTTCTGGATCCACTGGCCATTCTGAGGAATTAGTGTCATATTTACTTCATATTACCTTCGGATACTTCATCTGACACAAGTGACAATGAGAGGCCAGGTAAATATCAAGCAATGCCATCTAAAAAGTGTAAAACAACAGCTACTTCCAGTAATAATACTGATGATATAGTAAATAATGATACTCTTACAAATA